AATGTCGTCAAACTTTGTGCACCTATACTAATTTTGAACTGATCCAATTCAGGTCATTGGTACAGTTCGTTTCTTCATTTTGTCACCATTTAACACTGGGTCACTGTCTCCTCAACAACTTTGGAATAGAAAATTTACGAAATTTATAGCGTTTACAGTAATGATCATTGTTACGAAATTATATTACTTACATCATGAACGGTTACAAGCTCGGTCGATTAACTAATTTAGAACTTAACTTATTATCTTAGAGGAAAATGTTCAAAATTTAAGTATACAAATGAACTTTGTTTTATGAATCAACCTATAACTTTAAAGAGAGCTGGCTGGAGTGAGCTTTTGTCGTTTTGATAACGTAATATTATAATTGTAGTATACACGGCTGTAAAAAAATTGGTTAAAATAACCAATTTGAATGGACCTTTAACCTTATAACTAAAATTTTGATCTAGACAAAAAATTCATTACAGCTTGAAAGAGCATCACAAAATTAGTAATATTCCAAAGTTTCGTTACGAAATGTTGTAAAATGCGAATAATATAGCCCTGCGAAATTTGCAATTTTCAGTCATTTTAGATTACAAACGGGAAATTGATACACAAATAGGGTGTTTGGGTATCAATTTCCCGTTTGTAATCTAAAATGACTGAAAATTGCAAACTTCGCAAGGCTATATTATCCGCATTTTACAACATTTCGCAACGATACTTCGGAATATTACTAATTTTGCGATGCTCTTTCAAGCTGTGATGCAATTTTTGTCTGGACTTGTCTAGATCAAAATTTTAGTTATAAGGTTAAAGGTCCATTGCCATTGGTTGTCTCAAATGCGCTTATTTGACCAGTATTTTATTGGTTAAAACAATCAAAAATTGGGTTATTTGAAGTATTGGGTTAGTTAAAATTGGGTTAGTTTTGACCACATAGCCTAATAATGGTCAAAAGAGAATGCACCTGAGACAAGAAATTCAAGTTAATTGTATAAGCGCGCGAAATGTACTCAAGAATGTTGATGGCAAAGCTCCAAGCATGGTTGTAAGTTCTTTACATGGTTGTAAGGTCTCCTTCGATTAACCGTGTTTATACCAAGCTTTGTCAGTGTTTTTTTTTATCATCTATCCAATCTATACATGCCTTTTGGAAAGGTATACTAATTGACACTTTTGCGCAAGTTTGGAATGGTGTAACCTTTCTTTGTCTTTTATGCTTACTTTGCCTGGGGCCGGTAGACAAGATACTTAAAATTTCTAACTGCATAATTTACTTATACCTATATACGCCCTCAGGGGTAAACTACATAAAACGTAGAATACATAGCTAGACTACAGAAGGAATCGAATATAGTCGCAAAATGATGGTGAAAACAGATTAAGCACAAAAATTACAAACATTTTATATTGAAAAATATGTTTCCACTGCCATGAAATAGACCAAATATAGCCTACCACAACAAAAACTAGGAACAAAGAACAAATATACAAAATAATCTAAAATTTTGAAAAGGTGCAGTGATTGATTTAAGAGGTTCATTGTTAAAGTTTTGAACTGACATATATTACCTAATATATAAATTGTATGTTTTGTCAATAAGATTATACACGATCTGCTATACATTCTATTCTCAGTTGATATTACTGAAAACGTATATCAGTTATGTAAGAAGGTATACATCTATTTAAAGCTTTCATATAAACACTGTTGAGAGGCTGTTTCAGTTAAAACGGACAGATGACCATACGAAGTAAAAAATCAAAATGGTTCAAATATGGATTATTGTTTGTATTTTGACAGCTTACATGAAATATAGTTTAGTTCAAAATTTTCTGTCACCCTGTTGTTTGATTCTGTAACTGGATAATACTGCTATACAAAAAGAAGCAAAAAGCGCCCTATTTCTAGCTGCCTATAACCTTTCTGACTATGCACGCGCGCGTATAACCTTTCAAAAACCTGCAAGGGAATGCCCCTGAATGTGGAATCCCGGTCATGGCCTTAGCTTAACTTGTCCTAATGTGCATCGCACCTAGTGAGCTTCCACAAACAGGGGTAAATATGGATAGCTATGAAAATATTCGGTTCGAAAAACTGATCCAAGTAGAACGTCAATTTATAGCAGATCTGTTATACCAAATTTGGCAAAAGTGCAGCGTATCTAGGATTTGTATCTGGCATGATTTGTATCTAGTACCGTTTCAATAATAAAAGGTTGTTGTACTACTAATATTTTCTTCTTTAAAATCTGTTACAATTTATGTTGAATACTTTGGTGATAAGATGCATTCACTAGTTAAACAAATCAGAACAGTTTGACGGTGTTATTGCGAAAACTCTTTAAGAAAGGTAAAAATGTCTTTAAAACCTCTCGTTCAAGGTACGCCGACAGTTTTTGGGTGAATATAAAGGCCTTTGCAGCTGCGACCCAGCTCGGGGATTTCGTAGGTACTGTTATTTCAAACGTTGCTCTTAACTCTGTGTTTAAACCTAAACATGTTGTGCGGTAACAACTGTTATAAAAAAGTATCAGTTATACGTATAAGTTTGGCAAAGCAGTGACCTGTTATGGCGTTTAAAACGCGGTGTCAACAACTTGATCCCCGAGCCAACGGCGCGGAGCGTAAACCGGAGGCGAGGGTACTAATTCCGCACGGCTATATTTACACCTGGGAAAAGGAAACCATTAGCGAAGCCTAAAGTTCATCAATAATCGTGGACGCATACCATGCTGCGGCCGCATATCTATGGCTCACTGTGCGTGGGTGGTCATCGTGATCTCAAAAAAATAAAACAATTACAACACTTAAGATAAGCCATGGAACCAAACAAAGAGCAGAACATGCCGAAAGACATCAAAGACTTGCCAAAAGAATTAAGGGAGCAAAGACAAGTGAAGCATATATCATAGAGATTTCCTTAAAAGAAAAGCTGTCAAAACAGAGTCTACATATATGCACGAGGTTTATAAAAGGGAAAAGAATCGTGTTAATAAATTGATTAAACATACTAAATCAAATTATTATATTGGAGAGTTGAGCAAACATAAAAGTAATCCTAAAGAGATGTGGAATACAAAAGTTGATTAACAAAAACTCCAAAACTGTAACTGAACTTAAGATTAATGACGAAACTGTTTCTAAACCGCAAGACATAGCCGAAGCTTTATAATACCTTCTTTTGTGAAGTAGGACCATACCTGGTGAAAAATTTTACCAAACGGTAATATTTCACCGGAAAGTTACATAAAGCAAAAGTAATATCTACAATCCTGGACATAAATGATTGGCAAAAGGCTAAAAACTAAGAAAATTCATTGAATTTCACCCCCCTTCCCCCAATATCAATGTTGATGGGTGTATTCCAAGCCAGATAACTTGGCAACACCCTTGGGGGAAGTTTGTGTAGAGTAATTTCAATATAATAAATTTGGCGACACGTTGGTGACACAAATAAAATTCTTGACAGGATTCCATCGTCTCGTTCCATCCAGTTTAACAGCCGTGTGTAAATGTTTTGCCCCGTTGGCATGATCTTCTATCCAGCAGACCCACTGGACAACCTTCTTGTTACTTTTCCCGTTATTGAACGCCTCTAGTCTAGTACAATGTTGGAAAATGCCAGACAATTCGGGAACCTATCTAAATTTGCCCTTGCGCAAGTTATGAGGTATATCTGTCGGTTCCCACGTTCACTAAGTCATGAATTAAAGTCTATGTCATTCGATTCTTCGCTAAAATTCACGCTAGTTTCACTGCTCTCCATTATATCGTAAGGTATATAATATTAAATGTAAACAATGTTCAAACCTATGAGAAGTACTTTGAAAATTCCCGCCAAAGACTAGCGGAAGTACATTAGGCAAACCCTAATTCAAATAGCCAATCACATGCGCAGTTTTGAATAGGAAGTTTGAACTTTGTAATGAAATTAACAAGGTCATAATATATTTTGCCAAACTACAAACTAAAGTGGTAAAAGAATTAAAAGCGAGCTAAAACCGAGAGTAATGTATGGGAAAACTCCGTAATTTTTCCCATTCAAATTCATCCAATCCTGGACATAAATTATTGGCAAAAGGCTAAAAACTAAGAGAATTCATTGAATTTCACCCCCCTTCCCCTAATATCAAAGTTGATGCGTGTATTCCAAGCCAGATAACTTGGCAAAACATTGATATTGGGGGAAGGGGGCATCATTGGGACAAACATGTCTTCCAATTATATTTTGAGGTAATAAACTAGTTTTTGCCACTTTTTTGTCCAGGATTGTAGATTCGAATTCCAATTGATATGAGTACAACAGGTCTATAAGCTATTATCAACTAATAAAACATCCAAAGCAGCTGGTTATGATAAATCACAAACTGTTGCAGGATGCTGCTGATGTCATAGCTCATTCTTTAACTACAATTTTTAATCTGTCTATTGAAACTGAAGTTTTCCCAGAGGATCTAAAAACTGCAGTTGTCTCACGAATAAACAATAAACAAAATGGCCGTCGGTCACGATTTTTCGAGCTCTACAAAAATCGGAAATTTGACGTCTCTGAACCTTGACTTAGACATTATTAGGTCTTTGAAAGGTTGTGGTCACTTAACGTATGACGGAACCCGAATTAAATGGTCGCAGGATCTTCAATTAATAAAGAATTTCGTTGAAAATATTGTCGGCCCACGAGGCAATTGGTCATCACCTGGTGGTAAAGCAAAGCAGTTCCGAAGTTCCAATCTAGATTTCACTTTGACTTGGTACCCGGGCAAACGAAATTCCCTGACGTTTAATGGAAAAGATGGGGAAATATTTAAAGAATTCCTGGTGAGACAGACCGTGTTGATCAAACAGACATTACATCGGACAGTTTATTCATAAGTATAGCAGAATCGTGTAACACCATTAACAATGCTACCACTGAGACTGATCAGTCCGAAACATCAGTCATAAGTTGCACTACCGACCTCATAAATGAGCAATCCCGTTGTAAAGATTGCGAACATATGGAGATAAAAATGTTGGAAATTGAGAGGAAAGTTGACTGTTTATATGATTTAACGCATAAAATCTACAACTCGCTCAACAAGCCGACTATCAGAAACGCCGATTCAGAACAATTATACAACTCCGATGTCCTAAACAACGATAATCAAACAGAAAACTCATCTCGCTCTGAATATTATGACTTGTCTATGGATCTGGAAGGCGTTAAACTTGATGTTGTAATTAATCAATCTAAGCTTTCAAACAGTATCTCAATAAACCAAAAAGATACTAGCCAAAACACTGAAGCGATCAATCAACTCAGAGACCAATTGTCTACTATGCAAAGCAGAATTGTTGCATTAGAAGCCAAACTAGATAATCCCCTACCAAAGAAATTAACAACGAATGAGAATTCCCCGGAGAACAATGAGAGCAAGACTGCCTCGCCACCAACATAACCTCCATTGAATCAATTAAACAATGTCGAAATATCGATTATAAAACCCTTGGCCTTGGATGAAAATACAAATCAATCACGCGTTAATTTACAAAGCAATCAAGATCAAAACGAGTGGTTGAACCCCGCGCTTGATTCCCCAGAACTAAATAAGACAGACAAAATTTCCCACAGAAACAAATGTGATATTAAGGAAGCGACTAACATTCAATACAATGATCAAGGCGAAGCTATTCGAGATGCCGATTGCTCTCCTGAACAAAGTGTCATACGCAGAATTAAACCTAAACCTAACACCAAATACAAAGGCCATAAAACATCATTGAATACAATTAATAGTCTAAAACAAATGTCAAACGGCATAATGGACGTCACACACTGCGACACGAATAACAGGATAGAACATAGCGATCAGGATCAAAGCGAAAAGAAATATAAACAAAGTCTACCTAGCAAACAACCACACGAATGGTTGAAATGGCTACCTTTGCTTGAACCCCTAGAACCAAATGAGACAGACGAAGTTTCTTACAGAAATACATCTGAAATTAAGGAAGCGACTAATGCTCAATTCAACGATCCAGACGAAACTAATTGGCATGTTGAGTGCTCTGAACCACCAAATTCCATCCAGTCTCCCAGTTCTAGAACAAATACAAATAATTGCCTGCGGCCAAACCTGATAAATTTTCGGCAGCATCGTTCGAACCGTCGCCCTCCGGACTGGCTCAAACATTTCGACCTAGTCAACCAGTACGTAATACCTGACTTGGCATATACATCTTTTGGTCCAATTTCTAATCGTTTGAATGAGTCTGAAACCATCCCGGTTAGAATAACCAACCGTCGACTAGTACAGAGGTCTACTAACCAAAAACTCAGTCATAACTTAATACTTATTCCAATAAGGAAAAACAATATATGTGAATCATCAATTGCCTACTCAGTTCCATCTATACTCTTAACCAACGCATGTCATGTAACGAACAAAATAACTGAACTCTCTGGAATTGCTGCAGTCAATAACCCCTCCTTGGTCATAATTACAGAGTCTTGGCTGAATTCAAACATCCCGGGTGCTGCTGTGGAAATAAGCAATAAATTCAATGCACATTGTCGTGATCGTCCCACGCCTGGTGGTGGTGTCTTAGCCTACGTGAATAACAAAATACCAACTACCCGCCTAAGAAATCTTGAAGAGGATGGGAAAGAAGTTCTATGGCTCTTACTTAAACCGCCCAGAACCCCCAGGCCCTATAGTGCGATAATAGTTATTGGTGTGTACTACCCACCTGGACAGACAACTGAAGATGAAAGAGCAATGTACGAGTATGTTACTAACGGACTTGACAAAAAATTTGCAGGACCACCCCTCAGCTGGCGTAATTATCGCCGGAGATTTCAATAAAATGAGACTGAACCCACTATGTAGACATTTCAACCTTAAAAAAACCGTACGGGCTCCTACAAGAGGTAGAAATATTCTAGACCAAATCCTTACCAATATGCCAGAGCTATACAACGATGTTCAACATCTGCCACCGATCGGCCGTTCCGACCACCAGTGCTTACTGCTCACCCCAAAGCTGAAACAAAAGGTTAAACCGGTCTCCCAAAAAGTGCGCCTGACGAAATGTAGTAACCTAATCGAACTGGGCATGCATATGAATAGAGAAAACTGGGAAACAGTCTACGATGCCAGAGAGGTTGACGACAAAGTAAGTGCGTTCACTTGTACTATCGTGTGCATGCCTGATAAATCGCTGCCTAAACGCACTATACGTGCCCACCCCTCCGACAAGCTGTGGATGACACCGCGTATAAAGCATGAAATAAAAGCTAGGCAAAAGGCGTTTACATCTGGGGATATACCAAGGTACAAACTATTATGTGACAAAGTTACCTCACTTGTATCAAATGCGAAAAAGAATTACTATCAACTAAACGCAGAGGGTACACGCGAAACGAATCCGGCAAAGTGGTACAAAACCATATTTGAACTTGCTGCCGCTAATGACTGTAACTCTCAACCACCAGCTGATGATGCAGCAGACTTAGCGGAACGCCTGCAACAAAGCTTCACCAAACCTTGGCAGAATGCCAATCCCACTGAAATTCCGGATGTTGGGGAACTTGAACACCTACTTAAGAGTGATACCAGTCCCCCGTTGCCTTCCATCGGACAAATTAAGGCTACCCTTAAACATCTAAATCCCAGGAAGGCCACTGGCTCAGATGAGATCCCTTCATGGTTACTGAAACGTTACAATGAAGAACTTGCCCCTGTTATTCATAACATATGCTCCAGCATCTCCCAGGCTAAATACCCAACCCTATATAAACACGCATTGGTCACCCCGTGCCTAAAATATACCATCCTAATGACATGGACAATGATTTCCGCCAAATCTCAGTATTACTGCAATTGGCAAAAGTCTGAGAAAGCATCCAACTTAAATTAAACAAAGGGGACTTTAAAATCAAAGAAATCATCATGCATTTACACACGGTAAATCAACTGTATCTGCACTGGCGAGCATCACACAAAATTGGTTCAACAAGACTGAAAACTCAAGTGATGGAAGAATGGGTGTCCACGCCCTATTTATCGACTTTTGCAAAGCATTTGATCTGGTGGACCACGGATTGCTTTTAAGGAAGCTCGCCAAAATGAACGGGTCCAAAAGCTTCTGGCTATGGACAAGGAGCTTTCTAGAAGGGAGGAGTCAGCAAATAAAATTACGAGGTGCCTCTGTCATCTATAATGCCTTGCCTTACCGGAGTCCCCAGGGATCTGTTATATCACCAACATTGTTTTATGTTCATGTGGATGACCTCGAAGACTGCACTCCCAATTATCTGGACATCAATACGCACAAATACGCAGATGACTGCACTCAAGATGAAGTGATTCATACGGTTCTACTAGCAACATGCAAGAAGCGCTTGATACAATGAACGACTGGGCACTCAGAAACAAGATGAAACTTAACGCGAAAAAGACGAAAGACATGTGGATCTGCTTTAAAGCTGCAATTCCGGAACCACCATCACTTAAGATTGGCGATGATACGATTGAAAGAGTAAACTCGTTCAAGCTGTTAGGTCTTTGGATTAATAATACCCTTAAATGGGACACCCACATTGAAGAAATTACAAAGAAAGCAAACAAACGCCTATTTTACCTACGGGAATGTCGTCGAGCAAATCTACCAACCAAAGTGGGTTTAACATGCTATAAAACCAAATTAAGACCGGTTCTGGAATATGCGGCCCCAATATGGGGTGGTCTGCCACAATACCTTACAGACGAACTGGAGAGTATCCAGACTAGAAGCCTGAAAATTATTGGGCTACCTTCTGATTCTCTTCAGTCTCTACAGCAACGTCGGGATAATCTTGCCATTCGTGAGTACAAGAAAATCATTAATGATGAAACGCACTCATGCAGGAAATATACACCTGACATAGTGACGAACACGTATGACTTAAGAACACCAAAATCTCTTCCCCAATTTTTCTCATACACTAAGAGGCATGAACTATCGTTTATTCCAGGAACAAACTCGCTATTATAGACAATATTTTTATAACTACTCCTAAAATTTTTATCTGTACATATAACTCCTGGACTATTACTTAGATTTTACTAACTGTAAATCCATTGTATTTTTACACTAAAGATGGATCAATAAAACTATTATTATTACCTATATGTAAGACAAGGGATAAATTGGGATGTACAAACTATAGACCAATATTGGTGCTTTCTGCGGTTGCCAAAACTTTTGAAAGATTAATTTCCGATCAATTCTATAAATATCTAGAAACAAACAATATATTGTCTCAACAACAGGCAGGCTTTAAAAAAAAATATTCAACCCAAACTTCGTTACTTAATATAACAAACAAGTGGTTAATTTATATGGATATAAGGGATACCTAAATGATGTTGTAGTTTTCTGGATCTTAAGAAAGCATTTGACTGTGTGGATCATAAAATCCTGGTTAAAAAATTATTACTTTATGCATGGATGTACTGACCGTACACAGAAGTGGTTTACTAAGGTCCTACTTAAATGACAGATCACAGATGAGTAAAATTGACCAGTGTCTATCAGCAAAAAAAAAAATTCAATGTGGCGTATCACAGGTTTTACTCTCGGGCCGTTACTTTTTTAATCTACATAAATGATTTACCAAATGGTTTAACACACTCGTCTGCGAGTTTGTTTCCAGATGATACCAACATAACAGCTGAGGGAATTTCGATTGGCGAGATTGAAGATAAGTTCGGTACTGATTTAAAGAATATGCACCAGTGGTTGTTGGCCAATAAACTGATCTTAAATAGGATAAAACTGAATATATGGTAATAGGATCTAAGCAAAAATTATTAAATATACTCAACAAGAGACCACAATTAAACTGCAAGATAAAGAGTTGAAACAAGTAAATTGTACAAAAACCCTAGGTATAATTGTAGATGAAAATAATATTATTAAAGCATCCCAAGGCATTGGCTTATTGCGTAGAATAAAAAAGTTTGTTCCTCAACAGACTATGATTAATGTATACAACTCAACAGAGTATGATTAATGTATGATTAATATATATCCTCCCTATTTTGACTATTGAGCATGGTATGGGACAACTGTGGAAATTGCTTGCTTCAAATATTGCAAAAAATGCAAAACAGAGCAGCAAGAGTAACGTACTGGAAAGTCATATGAAGTAAGATCTAGTGAAATATTAAGAGAGCTTGATTGGCAAACATTAGAAAAGCGAAGGAAGTGTAATAAAGCCATATTTATGTGTAAAATCAAACACACCAAATCACCAATGAACCTCTGAACCAATGAATCGCAATATATGGCCAACCTTTTTAATGGGAAAAATAACACTAGGTATATAACCACCTTCATAGTAACAATATCGATTTCTCACTGGAAATGCCAAGAACTAATATGATGAAAAGAGGTATATAGTTATTCAGCTGCAAGCTTGTGGAATCGATTGCCTGGGTTTTGCGAAGTTAAGTAATATTCCACCACATAGATTTAAAGCTATACTCCGGGACAGTTTAAACTAACTTGATTATATGACTTGTAAATAGTTGAAAAGTGTGTAATTTCAATAATTTTAGTATTTAGTCTAGTTTTTTTAGTTAAATAGTATTAAGTGTGTAAATAGGTGTGCAAACGGCACGTGGGTTGAAGAGTAAATAATAATAATAATAATAATAATTATAATAATAATAATAATAATAATAACGTTTCAGAAGAGGACGTTAAATAAGTTATATAGACATACACAGTTTCTCTCTTGCACGACGTTAGTATAGTTGACACATGTTTACCTTCAAGCTCATGCATGCAATAGCTTTAAGCTCACGCAACAGCTTTAAGCGTGACGGTTGAATACGAATCTATACCTCTACGAAATCACCGGAAAACTGTTCGCGTACCTTGTATAAGTGGTTTTAAAGACAATTTTACGTTTCCCAAAGAGTTTTCGCAAAAACACCGCCAAACTGCTCTGATTTGTTTAATTAGTGAATGGATCTCATTATCAAAATATTCAACATAAATTGTAACAGATTTTAAAGAAGAAAAGGTAGTGCAGCACACTTTTATTATTGAATTGAAAAAATCATACCAGATACAAATCTTAGATACGCTGCACTTTCGCCAAATTTGGTATTACAGATCTGCTATAAATCTTATGCTAGTTTGACATTCTATTTTGGGATTTAAGCCATTTTGATTTTTACTTCTTCGTCAACTTCCAAATCAGGCACAAAGAAAAAAATTAGCCCCTCCCTGCATGCTTCCGTTGTCCCTGCATGTTACAACAATTCGGTACATTTAACGTGCTTTCCAGGGTCTGAAATCTGCAGTGTACCGATATATTCATAGGGGACTAAAATTTGGGTACGGATACCAAACTGTTTTTGTATCCCGAAAATTTCAAATATTATAGGATAATGCTAAATGTCTCTGGCGGTCTCCCAATATAGCTTTGGATACTATGGATCACGTAATCTTGCACGAAAAACCATTCGGTATTCTTTTATTCTCAGATGGGATACTAGAATCCTAGGCCTAGTATTGTAATGGGGTACTAGAAAAAATGTAAATTTCAGACCCGGCTTTCACACCTATTACCGTAACATTTAAACCACAAAGATGATACCTGATCCATGTGCACATCAATGAAGACCATCCTAAAAATACACAATGTATAACAACTTGCAACAGACCTTTTAGTAACATTGCTGTTCAAATAAGCCATTCGTCATCAGAATGTATTCGCATGCACTGACTGTTCCCAGATGTCGTGAAAAGACTCGTATAGTATAAAATTGTTGAAGACAAGATGTATACCCAAGTTGTTGGCAACAGTTAGCCTGGTAGAACTTGTTCCAACAACTTGCTACAGTTCTGGAAACACACAATTTATAACAAGCTTACCATAGCTTTATTTTCATAAGATAACAATTAGCTGTGAAGCTTGTTATAATTTGTCAACAAACTTACTACAAATTAAAGCAATCAACATGTAAATAGGATAAGGGCTTTCTAAGGGTGTATTATACAGAAACATACTTATGCACAACAGACGAGCGAGTTATCATGGTGGTAACGGAATCTTAACTATACTGGTTTTAAAAATAACAATCTATTAGTTGGCGAACAATGCGATAAAAACAGCCTTGGTAAATATTGAGATTATATTGGGAATCTCGTTGGATATAGAACTATCATACACAAGGTTTTTCATGTAGATGGAATCTTAGAACGCAAATTAATATACATTTTTTTAGTCAGGCAGGGGGGGGGGGGGTTAGTGATATATAGTGATATAGTAAAAATCGATCAAAACACCCGAAAAGATGCTCAAAACGACTTTTGCAAACTTTATAACAGCAATTCACAAAATCTTAATCATGCAAAATAGAAAATACCCATATAATTACAATGCAAATATACGGTAGGGTACACCTTATTTAAAAACCCATTGATTAGATACGGTGTACCCCAAAACCCCTGGCTGCATGACTTAAATTTGTAGATCTGCAACATGAAAATTATGCATGTCTGTGTCTTTTAATAAGTTAAGATTGCACGATTTTGAAAAAATAGGTACGCGCTGCGTACATGTGGGTAGCCTGCATTAATTGTTGTTAAAGTTGGAGTAATACCGAGGTTGGACTTTGGAGTAATACGCGCAACAAAATTGCTGCAGCCAAACTGATTTCTGCAACAAAATCTGATTTCAACGCATTTTAAGTAGAAATGTTGACAAAACATTTCAATTAACATGCGCAGAAATCAGATTTTGTTGCAAGTTGCTGCAATTTTGTTGCCCATATTAGTATATTACTCCACCTTAATTGCTATTGTCAAATTCCGAATTTACTGAAGGAAAGTATTAAGTAAATTGAACACAATTCAAATATTATACACACATTTAATCACATACTGAACATCAGATATGACAAAAATACGTAAACGACTGTTACGTGCATTTTTCAATAAGCATAAACAGATTTAAGAAGTTACGAAGTATTTTAATGTGTCAAAAATAATTTGCACACTGAACAGACAGAACAGTTCAAGGTCTTTAATATGTATACGAAACAAAATACATCACACGCCGAAATACAGACAGTACGAAAAACACTTAAGACAAGAACAGTTCTTGTTCAAGGACAGCATACATCAAAGACAAAGCATCAGGTTTACAGGCTGCGTATATACAATTTTCGTGAAGTTTGAGTTTCAAGGATAGTCCATGCAAAGATCTAAGGACGATGTTTTCCGGCGGAGTTTGAAAAAGATCAACATATATTTATTTAGTACAGTGATGATTGAATTATTTAAACAACGACATAATCGATCTCATATATATTGGTAATGACATTCAATTTGCTTTCAATATTCGACAAATATATCCCTAAGTAAAAAAGCGCTAATATTCCACTGCCTAATTTAATCCTTGTGTAAACCGTGCTTGGCTTTCTATTTGCCTTAACTTACACATTCGACTAACCCGATTCCAATGACGTGGCCTTACAAACATTATGTATAAGCAACGACATACTCGATTCTATATACCTATATGTTCGTCATTCGTCAACATTCCTTCGATATAGACTAACGTAAATATGTCCAATCGTCGCGCGCTATATCACTAATTACTATATTTTTCTAATACGTATAAAATGTTTGATCATAGTTAATATAATGAGATATAATTAACTATGGTTTGATCAAACTGATATGTCGTGTTTAAATATGACATTACACGATATAAAACAGACCCCTTGCGCTAATATTAACCCCAATGACCCTTGTACAAGCAGTGATTATAAAAACAACGACATATTCGATTCTATATGCGTTGGAAATGACTATCGACCTGACAAAACATATTACAATAAAGACTTTACTAAGAATTTATACACATCTCTGTACAGTATGAGCGTTAGTGAACTTAGCCTGTGGTCTATAGACGGTTCGTATTTCAAGGATAAAAGGAACCGCGCAGCAGGACACCGCGGACACGAAGGCTACAGCGCCACAGAGCCACGGAGCCACAGAGCCACAGAGAAACGGAAGATCGCGCTTCAGTCTCTCACATAGTGGTTAGCTGCGCATGCGCGGCTACCCACAAAAACGACTCATCTTATGAGTTCATTGGCGAAGTAATTTTAAAAATAAACGTTGTCTAAGCCGAGAAAATCAAAGTTAAAGTTTATGTAAATCAACATGAATCTGTATCACATATACAGATGCGACACGCTTATGATTTTTCTTTGTGTTTTCTTCATGAATTATTAATGAGTTTTTTAAATCAATATATTGCCAAGTGCTACTAGCTGTGATTGATATATGTGTTGTGAAACCCTGCCTAATACGACCAGCTTGCTAATGTGGTCACCTCAATGGTTTATGGTCCCATGTTCATTTCAGGGATTAATAATAATAAGGATAATAAACTTATAATTTTTTATTATTTCTGGATTGTCTGGGGAATTTTCAAAACTATTTTGATTTTATGGATTTTGAGGGATATTTTCGCGATATTTGCGAAGTGCACTCTTTATTACAATGACTTATTTTTGTCCCCATAAAATGTCAAGAAAGTGCAGTTCTGTACAAAGATATTAACATGACCAAATGTTTTTGTTCAGGCTACATTAAAATTACCCCGCGAGCAAAGTCCTCTCGTATTTCTTCTGATTGAAACTTCAATGGCAATGCAGCGACATAAATACCGCCCGACAAAATAATTCATTCAAGACAGTTAAGTTTTTTATATTTTATTGAAAGAAATTTCATTGCATTTTATGTAAAGGAACTTCCGCATTCAGTTCAAGCCTCAAAGGTTCAGTCATTCAGTCGTGGAGATACGTGCTGTACAGCAATGTGTAATGTAATATGTTTATTTCGGTTTGTGACACTTCACTTTGGAAATTACAGAAATATTAAATGTTCGGAATTATTTTTTTGTTTATTGATATATAAAATTATATAAATATAAAATATACCCCCACCTCTTCGACATTTTCAAAGTGAAGTGTAGTAAGTGTAGAAATGTATTTTATGCGGCCTAAGAATGTAAAATTTTGTTTTATTTATATTAAAAGCTAGGGCACTTTTGCCTCGACTGCTCTCAACGTAGCTCTTTTTATTTTGGTCAAAGGAATTAATTCAGAATGCTGATGATGCAGGAGCCAGAGAAGTGAAGTTTCTCTATGATGGTCGATCATTTGGCAAGAAGTATCTTGCTACTGAACACCTGCAAAAGTATCAAGGACCCGCGCTCTACGCATTTAATGATGCTATATTTAAACCTGAAGATTGGGAAGGAATCCAGAATTTAATGCGAAGTAATAAAAAATCTGACATACTCAAAGTTGGCAGATTTGGTATTGGCTTTAATTCAGTCTACCACATCACAGGTTTGTGTGAATAACTAGCTCTGTTTGGAGGCATAAATTTTCACTTTGACTTGTTTGTTTGTTTGTTTTGTTTATTTGTTTGTTTGTTTGTTTGTTTGTCCGTCCGTCCGCCCGTTTGTTTGTTTGTTTGTTTGTTTGTTTGTTTGTTTGTTTGTTTGTTTGTTTGTTTGTTTGTTTGTTTGTTTGTTTGTTTGTTTGTTTGTTTGTTTGTTTGTCAAAAGATTATGCAGCCATGGCCAAGGATATCAAATTGTGGTTCAAATGAAAATAGGATGCAAAATTATATAATATGAACTTTTTTCTTATTATTTATATATGTATAATTTATGCATGATACCGTACTTGACTTTGGTTAGGCAGCAGACACTCAGTAACAAGCCAATTGAGGATAGACCTTGACCTAGTGGTCTTTAATCGGAATGGCCATATCCTCTTGCAGTATGGATGGGATGTCCAAATGGGATGTTTTGGACCACACCCATCAACCAATGCCTACTGAAGTATTTGGATACTGAGTTGGTTTTGAAAATCTTACCAACGCAAGCCAGCTTTATAAATAAATTGTTAGGTTACCAAAACCAATGTGTAATGATCCGGTTAACCTAGGCTTTGTATGTTAACTCACATACCCAATGCTGTAGTATTAATTATTAAATGCAGCATTATATATACCCCTGTTTTACTTAACATAATATATCTGATTTGTTTGATAGATATTATAAATTCTTTCATAAAAAGTCTGAAACTACCGTTATTCTTAGAAATAACCAGATAGAAAACCGGAACGCGGATCTGAATGTGTCCACATGCGCGTTTCAATTGAGTTCATTTTGTGTTCCAATCAAACCGGGACTTCTTGATCGTTAGCGTTGCTGACATATAGCGTTACTAACACCAGGGCTTAAGAAATAAATCGGAAATGCCGTACGAGGTCGTATACGTTCTGCACTAAGTTGATCGTACGTTTAATCGATGTTGACGATACGTACGATTTTGTATACTAGTTTTCGTATAAAATTCCCGTGTAAAAATGCGTTTGAAATGGTTTAAACGACGTAAACAAAGATGACGGTCCGGGATTCGAGCAGCGAACTCGATGTTTCTGGATCAATGTTTCATGTTTGATTGTTATAAATATATGGATATTTGAAAATCAGGGTTACAGACAAATGTTCGTTCATTGTCCCAAGGATTTTAAGGCCAACAGAAAGGGGTAACGGTTCAGCTCTGCAGAAGAAGTGTACGCGATCATACTTGTCTGAAATTCTTGGTGTACGCCAAGCTAATTTCGACGTACAATCGTACGTTTGTATATACGCCTATTTTTTTAGCCCTGCTAACACGTTCTCTAAATTGCGTTCCATAATTCCTTCCAACCAAACAAGAACGCAATGCAAAGCTGTAGTGTTTTACATGCAGTTTAGCACAACGTTAACTTTTGCTGATGGGAAAAACAAACAACTGAATTCCGTTTTATATCTCTTAGATTTGCCAGGAATCGTGAGTGGCAATAAAATTGGATTTTTGGATCCACATAAGCGGTGTTTTGGAAATGATTATTCTGGAGAGCAATATGTCGTCAAGTCACGGTTGCTGAAAGGAAAAATTCGCGATCAGTTTACACCTTTCCAGGGAGTATTTGATTTTGATTTTCACAAAAATTATGAATCGACTCTCTTTCGCTTTCCCCTACGTACTTGTCCGTCTAAACTCTCGCAAACGGAGTACACGAAAGAGAAGGTCGACAAGCTATTTGAGTCGTTACATGAAGAGGCTTCCATTATCTTGTTGTTTATGAAAAACATCCAACACATCAGTGTTTATGAACGTATCGATGATGGTGACGAGGCCAAATGTATTTTCAAAGTAGAAATTGCTCCTGAAATGTGTGAAATGGTGAAGCAAAAACGACAGATCATGCTGCAAAATGCTGGTGAGGAAGATCTTACTGCATCAAGCTATATTGTAGACGTCTGCTTTTCGTCTGATTCTGAGGAGAAGTGTTTTCAATGGCTTGTCCTCAACCAAATTGGCTTGGAGGGAGATGAAAGAATTGCAGAGCTTTCAGAAAAGTTAAGCTTGCTGCCATGGGTTGGTTGTGCCGTTCCGTTAAACGAGAATGCTCAAAAGGAAGACAGCGGTCGTATATTCTGTTTTCTACCTCTCCCACGTGATGTGGACTGTCAGACCGGTTTGCCTGTATTGGTGCATGGCGCGTTTGGAGTGACGGATAACAGACGTGGTCTTCTGTGGCCTGGGAGTGAATGTCAAAATAATGAAACTGCAGAATGGAATGTGTTATTGGTAGAGAAAATCTTATCTGCTGTCATTTACAACGCTCTTAAATCAATCGTCACAGATTGCCCAATCACTGGTCTGAACGAGATACAGAGACGTGAACTTGTGTACTCCACTGTGCCAAAATTAAACGGTGTTACAGGCCACTGGAATTGTTTTGTAGACCCTTTTTTTCAAAAGTTAAGACAACTAAATCTATTCCACGCTCAATCCTCGAGGGGCACATCTTGGATAACTCTACAAGAAGGACTCCTGGATCAAATGGGAAAAGCTGGCGTGTTGCAAAAGACCGGAAACGCTGTCCTCGAAACACTATTGAGAAATTCCCAAGTAATAATAACAGATCTTCCCGATCATGTGATGGAAATGGTTGAGAAATATTTCGGTGAAAGGCAAGATATTACCTGTGAATTTTTTAGAAATTTTCTAAGAAGTAATTCTATCAAGACAGCATCCCATGATGATAAACTGTCGTTGCTTGACTACATTCTCCATGATTCCCCACGGCCAGAAGAACTTAGCGGCATTCCTCTACTTCCTTTGGCATCTGGTAAGTTTGTTACTTTTGCCAAACACTGTCATGATTCTGACCCATCATCGTCCATCTTTGTGTCAGACGGTCGCTGTACTGAAGATTTGCTACCAAATATGGAAGATCGTTTCTTAGACAAGAATGTCTCTACAGAAACCTACCAGAAGTTGGTCGCCATGGCAACCGGTTTATTGGATGAAATCAACCCGACACAGATGATTAAACTCACACCCGAGCTTGTCGTCGCATGTTTGCGTTCAAGTCTTCCAGATGAATGGTTCAATACAAGCAACCAGAAAGATGTAGTTTCCTGGAAACCTGACTGTCCAGGCCATCCGCCTGAGAAATGGATTAATGATATATGGCATTGGATCAATGATAATTTTGAATCTCTTAAGCAGTTCGAAGGAATTCCACTAATACCGTTTCAATCAAATTCGGAGAAAGCACTCGGCGTTCTTTCAAAAAATTCCAGATTCATATTCAATTCAGATTCTTCTCGGAATATGCAGCTGCCTTCTCAAGTAGTTGGACTGCTTAAAGCTTCTGGTTGTATTGTGTTGCCATGTACGTCTAAACTCTTACATGTGCGTCATCCTAATATCAGCTCGTACGTAGCATCTCCAGTGCCTGCCGAAGTTACGTTAATGCTTGGCAAATGTTCGATGGAATTTGCAGAACACTACATCAGGAATTGTTCCAAAGATCAAAGAAAGGTACTTCAAAGCTTCTTTGCTGCCTCACAACTGTTGTCGGAAAAAGAGAAGAATATTGTGCGCCGTCTACCTGTATTAAACACACTTGATGGCAGCTGTACAGCAGCTTTCGTACGCGAACAGTTTCTCAGTGTGGCTTCACCCAAATTCAAACTTCGAAATAGCTTTAAATTTCACAGAGCCAGCCAAATTATCTCGTCTGCCGAAGTTAAATCGCTGCAACTGGTTCGTTTGTTAGGTTTGGAGCCTATCGAGCCGGCCGATATTTTTTGCCGCTTTCTCTTTCCTGACATTCAAACTCAATCGATTTACAGTTTGGAAGAAACAACAAGCATCATGTTGTGGATTCTGGAAAGAAAATGTGAGATACAAAACGAGGAGTTCCTGAAGGAAATCAAAGATTTGTCATTTGTTAGCACAAAAAATGGAGAATTAAAAAAGACATGTGAACTATATGATCCAAACGATCCTGTTCTAGCTGATCTGTTCCTTGGAGAAGACAGCAAATTCCCATCAAAAGAGTTTTCTAAACTGATTTCAACCTTAAAAGAGTTGGGGCTTCGTGCACAAGACATGATCACCGCATCGGATCTTCTAGGTGTTGCTGAAAGAATTGCTTTGTCAGATTACCAAGACGCCCTAAAGAAAGTCCAAGCGCTGGTTACGATTTTTCAACAGAGTCCCGAATTTCTTAAGATGAATCTCGGTGGTATTTCACTGATATCACAATTGGCTAAACTCGAATGGCTACCTTGCGCAAAGAAATATCCTCGCGGAGCGGGATACCCTAGCTTTATGCATAATAAATGGTATAACAGTGAGACAAAATTTTTTAAACCAGACGAACTATTTCGTGAGTCCCACACACTCCTCGTTGGAACGTCTGCACCAATACTCGGCATCAAAATGATTGATGGTATCCAAAATTCGCTTGGTATTCAGAAAAAGGTCAATGTTAGCAAAGTGATCCAGCATCTTAAAACAGCTGTCAACGTTTGGGAAGACAAAGTGCGACCAAATTCTCAATATAATGAAATGCTCCAAAAAATCTATCTATATCTTTCCAAAGTGCCTTCACAAGAAATCGTATCCGAAGCCATTCAGCGGAATAAGCTAGTGAAATGGATCTGGCATGGATCCGGGTTTTGCTCGCCGAAGCAAATGGCTCTAGAAAAAGATTTGCCATTTGAGTTTCGACCTCCACTTTTCTTACTCCCCGATACGTTAAATGACGGCGGAACTCTTACAAGGTTTTTTAAAAGCCACGGCGTGCGAGATCAGTTCTCCAAGGATGATATTATTTTGGTGTTGGCCGCCATTAAAGAAGAGCACGAAGAGCCACAAAACAAGATATCTCCCAAATCTATGAAAAAAGATTTAAATTTTTGCCGTTCAGTACTTGAATGGTTGGTTAACGATGGACAAAGGTTAAGCGAAGACCTACGAGCCAAAGTGTTTGTTCCAGTGCAGAGTGATGAAAACAAGATGGTTTTAAAAGAATGCGAGAAGTGTACGTACTGCGACCAGGAATGGCTGAAACTTGGTAAAACTGAGCTGGATATTCCAGATGATTTCCATCCTATTCACGACTCTATTCCACCCAAACTGGCTATCCTCCTTGGCGTACCTTCTCTGAGTTCTTGTTTACTCTCGGCAGAGTCCATCGAGTTCGAACAGACGGGACCATACGAGCCGATCACAACACGAATCAAGAATATTCTTAAAGAGTACAAAGAAGGAGTTGGAATATTCAAAGAGCTGATTCAAAATGCGGACGATGCAGGCGCTACTACAGTCAAGTTTTTGGTGGATTGGAGGAATGGTAAAACGGACAGTCTATTCTCCCCTGACATGGCCGCAAGCCAAGGTCCAGCGCTGTGGGCTTACAATGATGCTGTGTTTACTGATAAAGATTTTGAGAATATCAACAAGCTAGCCGGAGGAACGAAGATTGAAGATCTTTCAAAGATTGGTCGGTTTGGACTTGGTTTTAACGCGGTCTATCACCTTACTGATGTACCGAGTTTTATCAGTAGAAACTACCTGTGTGTTTTCGACCCAAATGTCAATCACATCTCAAATCACATTCGCGACAAATCTCGACCCGGAATTCGCATTGATCTCGCCAAGAATTCAAGGCCTTTGATAGCATTTGCAGACCAGTTTTCTCTTTATGATCAAGTTTTCGGATGTAAGACAGCTTTAAACAATGGTGAGACGTTTCACTACCAAGGAACGCTATTTCGGTTCTCTTTTCGCACAAAATGTGAAGCAAAGAAAAGCGAAATTTGCGAAACGGTTTACAATTTTTCAAAAGTAAAAGAAATCGTTCGTACTCTTCAACGAAGTGCCTCACTCTTACTTTTGTTTACTCAAAATGTTAAACATGTTGAACTACACGAACTTAGTTCGGCCGGAAAACCTGAAGACACAACTTTAGTACTTTCCATCAACAAGGAAATCCAAAATACAAATACTGTGTCAGCACCTTCCTACATCAAGCAGTGCTCCGAGTGGTGGCAGAGAAAGTTATTAAAAGAGTTACCATTGGATGAAGCCCCGTCAAGTTTGGAACAAGTTAAAATTGTGAAGACGGAGAATCCTTCAAGAATTACCGGCACTAAAAGATCACTCGTTAACAGCTGTACTTGGCTTGTGGCATATTGTGTTGGAAAGGATCGTTCGATTGAGTTTGCCGTACAAGAAGGGCAAAAGGATGGCTTGCTGCCCCTCGCTGGTGCTGCAGCTTTACTTCAAAGCAACGCAAATAATAAGATAGTAGATTCTAAAATTTTCGCCGCTAAACGTACCGAAGGTGAAGCTTTTTGTTTTCTTCCGCTGTCGATTTCCACCGGGCTACCAATTCATGTTAACAGCTCCTTCGCCGTTCGCTCAAATCGCGATGGAATTTGGGAGAAAACAACTGCTGAGGAAAACCTGGAATCTCGATGGAACGACTGCCTTCTACAAGATGCAATACCAGAAGCATATTTTAAGCTACTTTCTAGAATGGTGGGTTTGTGGCAAAATGCTCACTTGTCACAGTTTGATAAACAGTTCCATGATTTTTGGCCACGTCTTGCCAACTCGGGTGCATCATGGACAACTGTCGTTTCAAGTTTCTACACCAAGCTGGTACAGCGAGATTTGAAATTATTTTACAGCAGCGGAAAGTGGATGAATATTACTGATGGATACCTTTTGGACGAAGAGCTACGGAAGGTAAAACGAGTAGTTAAAACGTTGCAAAGTGTTGGCGTATATGTTTTTGATCTTCCATCCGATGTTATCAATTCAATGAAAAATTCCATTGATAGTTCTGCCACTGCTGTTGTTCAGAAGCAAACCTTAAGTCTTGTGTCATTTTTCGAGCATTTCTTGTTTCCAAATTTACCCTGCATCTCAGCTGACCTGCGAAATCCTATCGTACACCATGGATTACGCTACATCTTAGAGAAATCAAGAGAAGACTGGAAGCAGCTTAATTCTTTGTACAAAAAGACCGAATGCATTCCATGTTCTCCAGATGGCCAAACGCTTGCACGACCGTGTGATTTGATCAGTCCGGAAGTAAAAAGTATTGCAGTGTTGTATTCGCCTGATGAAAATCGATTCCCTACTGGAGAGCTGGATGACAGCCAACTGTATGCGCTGGAGCAGCTTGGAATGGTTAAATTGTTATGTTGGCAAGAAATATGCGATCGTGCGAAGTCTATCGATAAGCTAGCAATGAAGGACAAGGGTTTGGCGTTACGCCGCTCTCAATCCCTTATCAAATACCTTCGCCGCAATATAGAACATCTGACAGAGGTGGATAAGTCTGATAGTGATCTTCAGAATATAAAGTTCTTACCAGTGCGTCTCGCTCCTCCAGTGTACTATACACTCCCATGGAAAGGAGCCGAGTTTCATACCATAGAATTCCGTAGTCCTAGTGACCTTTTCTTGTTGAAAGATGTCAACCTTATTGGCTCATCTTGCTTAATCGTGGACGATACTGAGCAAAGTGGATGCGGTCGTATGGAAGTTCTCGGAAATGTGCTCGGTTTTTTACATCGCCGTCCAAGTTGCCAGCAAGTGTTGCAACAGTTAGAAATCACCAGAGAATCAAATTCGGACGACAAGACCAAAATTACAGTTTGCAAACGGGTTTACAAACATCTTAATGACGAACTAGTCAAGAATCGAGATGTCTCTGTTATTACAAAGCTCAAAAATACGGCGTGGTTGTTTCTACATGGAAAGTTCGTAGAGAACAGGAAGATCGCCTTGGAATGGAAAGGCTACGCGGTGCCGTTCCTGTACAGTGTTCCTGATGAGTACAAACGAGAATTCGTAGAACTTCTTAAAGTGACTGGCATCAAGGAGATGTTTACACCAAGCGATTTTCTTGAAGCACTGGATTCTCTCCAAGGATCTAAGCAAGATTCGCGTCTAATTCCTGAAGATATAAAACTGATCGTGACTTTAATCAGCGAATTGAGATATCAATCTGATAATTTAGTAAAACAACGTGTTGGCACCATCCCATTGCCTGACGCCCAAGGTGTTTTATACAACAGCAAAGATCTTACAATTCCTGAAAGTTTTCATGTGAAGTATGCGGGAAACGAGCGCTACATTCATTCGGATATAAACCGAAACATTGCTCTCAAGCTTGGAGCGAAACCATTGCGCGCTAGAAGAAGAGAGAAATATGGGAATACACTGTCTATATCTTTTGGGCAATTCGAGAAACTAACCGATCGAATAAAGAACATCCTATATTCGTACCCGTGCGATGTTGGCATCCTGAAAGAACTTGTTCAGAACGCAGATGACGCGAAGGCTACTGAAATTCAGTTCATTTACGACAAACGAATACTTCCCCACGAGCGCGTCCTTCAGACCAACGCAAAAAAAATCCAAGGACCAGCATTATGTGTTTACAACAACAAGCATTTCAGCGAAGATGATTTAAATGGAATTTGCAAACTTGGAATTGGAAGCAAACAAGATGATCCTGCAAAAACTGGTCAGTATGGGATTGGATTCAATGCTGTTTACCATTTAACAGATTGTCCAAGTTTTCTGTCAGACGATAATACACTATGTATCCTTGATCCACATTGCGAATATAGTCCTGAAGCAACCTCAGAAGCTCCCGGTGGAAAATACAACAACATTGACCACGACTTCAAAGACATCTTTTCTGATACAGTTAGCGGTTACCTTGGAGACTTCGGTGATCATTTTCCTCTACAAGGCTCCACTATGTTTCGACTTCCATTGAGGACAAATGAGCAATCAAAAACGTCAGAAATATCGAACTGTTCTGTTACCGATCAGGTCATGATGGATCTAATTAGCAAATTTAAAAAAGAAGCAAAAAAGTTACTGCTTTTTCTCAATCATGTTAAGAAAATTGGTTTGTGGGAAATCAATAGCAAGTCTGAGTTGAAACCCATATACTCAGTGAGTTCCCAGCTTAAACGAAATTATGAGAAGAAACTACCGGAGCTACATCGTCACTTGCAAGAGTATAAGACAGTAGCAACTTGTGATGTGCCCATGAAAGACACGACGTATACCATCCGTATCGAAGACACAGACAAATTGAAGGAAAAATGGCTTATTCATCAAAGGTTTGGCATCAAAACAGAAGCAACCACAACAGAACGAATTCATCAAAGTTGTGGCGTCAAAACTAAAGCAATAAAAACTGAACAAATTCATCAAAGCTCTTGCATCAAAACAGAAGCAATGAAAACTGAACAATCTCATCCAAGTTCTGGCATCAAAACAGAAACATTGAAAACTGAAAAAAATCTTCAAAGTTCTGACGTCAATACTAAAGCAATAAAAACTGAAGAAATTGATCGAAGCTCATGCATCAAAACAGAAGCAATGAAATCTGAACAGTCTCATCCAAGTTCTGGTATCAAAACAGAAACAATGAAAGCTGAAAAAAATCTTCAAAGTTCGGGGATCAAAACAGAAGCAATGATATATGAACAAAGTCCTAACGTTTGTGATCTTGGTTTATTCCCCCGTGGTGCCATTGCAGCGCTCTTGTCATCGAATCGTGATTGCAGCGAAGAATATGTGGCTTACTGTTTCTTGCCTTTGCCCGTGAAAACCATGCTGCCAGTCCACGTTAATGGACACTTCGCACTCGATGGATCAAGACGAGATTTGTGGTTTGACACCAGTGGAACTTGTCGGAAAACAGTATGGAATGCATTCATGAAAAAGCGAGTACTTGGTCCTGCCTATGCATCATTGATCACCAAAGCAAGAGAATATATTCCACATTGTGAAAGAGATTCAGAAAAGATCTACTTTTCGAGCAAGGATGATGCTACGAAAGCCTTGGACTGGTATCATAACTTATTTCCCAATCCTGTTGCAAACCCAAAATGGAAAACTCTTGTCGTGGCAGTTTACCAATGTTTAAAAGAAAGTCCAATTTTACCCGTGGTCTCTCAAACGCGTGGTATTGTCGTAACAGAGAAGGATAACCAGGGTGAGTGGCGATCAAGCAAATCTTCCGATGCCAGATTTCCACGTAAATATGAAGAAACAGCTTGTAGTAGTGGATCGTTTCGCAGTGTATTTGGCAAGTACTCCTATTACCAATCAAAATATCAAGAATCTGCGAGAGAATCGAATTCTGAGCATATGAAGAGAGCAAGATACGCTACCTTTGCGGAAAGAAGAGCTGATGCACTTACTAAATATTATATTGAATGGCTACCTCCAAATATTGTTTACTTCACCAAAGAAGAAGAGCGGGAAATTCGACAGTCGTTGCTGGCAGCGCTTTTGCGAATACATATGCCTGTATTGCTATACACGCCATTGAATATCCACAAGGCATTGTTAGAGTCCGAAGTTGAATCCCGCTTCCTTGATCCGGAAAATGTCATCAAATTCTTGTTGACCTCGCAAGATGAAAGCTCCAGGTGCAACATTGGAAAACTTCCAGTCCAACTAAATAGTTCTAACTTTCAAAACAAATCCAATTTAGGAAGTATTCTAGAATATTGCGAGAAGACGCTCAAAAAGTTTCCAGAATATATCCAAGGGTTACCACTCCTCTTGACTGATGACAACATGTTGAGAGCTTTCTCTTCAGAATGTCCTGTGTATTGTTCATTGTTCAGCAAATTGTTTCCAGACAAAGCTTTCAAGTGTGTTCAAATTGATTTTGTTCCACTGTTATCAACATTTTGTGGACTCGAGCCTGATGTTATTCGTGATCTTACTATCCAGTCATTGGCCACCGAGTTCATGCCCGATGTTTTCAATGGAAAATTAGAATTAGGTGGAAAAGAACATGTCCCATGGAATTACCCAGAAGAAGGCGTTCTCTCAAAAGAATGGTTCACTCGATTGTGGAAGTTCCTGCAAATTGCTGAAAAGCGTGAAGAAAACAAAAGTCGCATGGATGGAGAGTATTTAATTTCAATCTGTGCAGAAGATAACAGTTCGAATGAGTCAAGCAGTCTTGTTACATGTCTCGGCAAGTATCCTATTATTCCAACAACAGACGGAAAACTCGCAACAGTTGATAACGGCAAGACTGTACTGGCAGTGACTAACGACAAAAAAGGAAGTTCTCTTCAACAGGAAGTAACAGAAATCCTCAAGAGCTTATCTTGTCCTTTCTTGGATAAATCTATCACGAAAGATGCTTTGTCTGTCGTTCTTCGTGTAGTCGCAGACCCACATTGCAAATCAGATGTTTTACATGTTCTTCATTACATGAATTCAACTGGAATACTTGACATGAGCAAATTTGATGAGAAAGATATCAAAAGTCTTTTGATATTCTTTCAGGCTGAATGCAAAAATGACGAGTCCATGAACATGGCAAAGACTTTGTCGTTCTACAAAGGCGTTGATGGTGATTATCATTCGCTATCGTCTTATTACACCTATATCGTAATTCCAATCGGTTTGCCAGGCGACGGGATAAAAGAACTTCAAACTATATACGGAAAACGAGTGCTTTTTTTGCCTTCACTAACATCTGACCTGGGCCGACTATACAGGGCTCTTGGAGTTGTAGTAGATTGTGATATTTGTAAGTTTTACATAACTTATGTACTACCAAATTTTTCATCATTGAGCCGAAAATGGCAGGAAGAGTTTCTAGCTATCATCAAAGATACGAGGCCAGAGGAATTAAAGGAATTAAAACAGAAGTTGCGATCCACAAGATGTATTCCAGACCAAAGTGGAAGTCTTCGCGTTGCTTCAAGCTATTTCAATCCGCATAACGAATTATTTAAAGTGATGTTTAAACCCGAAGCTGACGTTTTCCCAACAGCTCCGTTTAACAAGATTGAGTGGATTGATTTCCTTATCGAAATTGGGCTGAAGGAGGATTGCGACGAACAGCAGTTCGTCACATTTGCAAGAGGCGTGGAAGAATCTGCACAGTGCATGTCCAAATACGATCTGAACATTATTGCTCAGTCCAAAGCTCTCGTGAAATATTTGTCGGAAAATGGTAAGAATTGGTTTCACGTCACTATCTCCGACATAGAGTTTATTGCTCCTGAAGAAGTAGAAAATGAGCTCTCTTCTCTTCATCCCCAATATCGTGTAAATGGAAAGTTGGAGTTTGTTTCGTACCGCGAATCAATGCAGTGGACAGATAGACACTTGGTTTGGACCAGCGCTAAACTTCTACCAGAATGGGCTTATCCTAAATTTGACTCTCGTCTTCTTTTACTTTTGGGAATCCCAGCGAAGCCACCGCTTGAATCTGTGATTGACCACGTGAAAATAATTTCCAAATGTGCTTCGGAAATAGTTATGACTGATCGTACCTTACCGGAGAAAATTATCGAGGTCTTTAAACATGTTTATGATTTTTTGACAGAGACAATGCAGAATTGTACAGAAGAACCGCCTTTCGCGAATTGCAATGAGGAATGTAGAAAGATTGGAAAGTGTTTAACAAACGTTGCTTGTATACTTCTTAGTAAAGAACGCTGTTTGGTAAAAGGCGAAGAATTGTCTTTTGAAGATACTGAAGAGAAATTGAAGCCACATTTTTATATGGTTCCTAGGGATTATGTCCAGTATGAACATCTTTTGAAAAGGCTTGGAGTTACGGAAAAAATAACTCCTTCGCAAATGGGCAATGTTCTCAAGTCATTAAAAGATTCTTGTACGAAGGATACGATGAATTCTGAAGAAGAAGAAAAAGCATGTTTTGCTACTTTTGTTTTGTTTGAATCACTTTGCGATGATTCAACTGAGGTTGAGTCAAGATTATCCAATTGCGAAGAGTTGAATTTAGCAAGCATGAAGAAACGACTCGTTAAATCAAATGAACTGGTGTACAGCATGCAATCACGACTTCGCGAGTCAGTAGCGGGGCAAGGGTACGAGATTTTATATCCTCTTGAAAAATGCGGACTGAAACGAGAGCTGGAAGACGCCTACTTAAATGCTCTTCCAAAACGACTTCGACCAACACCATTAAGCAGTTTAGTACGCGAAGAGTTAGATCCATCCTGTAAGAAGAACATGGCTTGTATTTACTGCACGGAGATGGATTGTCCGTTTATACAGAAGATTATCTTGGTTCTACGATCCTCGCAATTTGAACACGGCATCCTGCGTCTGTTGAAACATCAGAAGAACGTATCGATTCCAGACGACGAGGATAAAGAAAGAGCTGCGAGATTTACCTCCACTAAAGTGAGACGTATTTTATGTTGTAAAATAAGTAATCGATAGTGAGTTTAGATACTAATAACAACGATTTCAGTTCTAACCCATGTTCCAACCCTAAGTGTTACCCTAATTCTTATATACCCTTATTTTAAAATGACTAGGATGGCGCGCTAAATGTTCTTCATAAATGTGTTATTGAAAAATGAGAGATTTTATGTCTAAGCATTCTAATAATTTACATCCATATTTCTGTTAAGCTCACTGTAATCAAGTGTATGAGTCAAGTACAGATCCACCTTGTGAACGTGGAGACAAAAACACCATTACCGCAGAGCAAGATCGAGAGAACGTGTCATGTCGAAAAGCAAGAGAAGTCGTGGACATTGTATATTCAACACCATTTTGGTGGACGAAAAAATTATTCGATATTTGCGAAAGCTGTAAACGAAATTATGGACGGATGCTTGAAAGAGATTGGAGAACTAACCGATATGCTGTCGTGTGATTCACCTTCAGAAATACCAGGCGTGCTTAACGACCATAACGTAGCGATAGACTACAACGAAGAAGGCGAGCAGTTAGGACAGCCTGTTCCAAATGTCTATCGCTATCTCATGATTCAAAATCCGCTGTGTCATTTTGAGGAAGGAACTCGCGTTGCTTACGGTGAGGACGAAGGTAAGATAGATAGAAAAACCTGATTTAGCAACGGTAACCTCGTCAACTGAAGCTAATTTCCATATGGGGTATGGAAAAGGAAGTGCATAAGTATAATATTATTTAATTTAAAGTAATAGTATTAAAAGCATGAGCAGCCGATTTGTATCTGATTTACAAGGCGAGACGTAATAAAGGTCAATAAATCAGATACAGATCGGGTGCGAATACTTTACATTACCTGAAGTACAAACACATCAAAACTGGGTGGTAAAAGTAATATGATTATGGATCGTTGGGCTCATAGCGAGACATTTGTGTTCTTCATAAGTTCCTAAAATTTGCGAACGACATTGTGTGCTCGACTATTTTTTAATTTCCACCCCTGCATTTAAGTAATCAAGTTTACCAACTATATATTTTGCCGACGTGGTTTGTTTTAGCCGAGAAATCGAAGCTATTTACAAAATATAATATATAATTTGAAATAAATAATATAATCTATGAGTAAAGTAATATGTTAACAAGCTTTTAAGATTTATATCCTGTCACAATCAAAAAATGAATAGCAATTTGCTCTCCGTAATTTCATTTGAAATTAGAGTTCCATATAGCTTATAGCACCGACATTTATCATGTTATTAGTACAAGGTTGTGGTGGTAAGCAAAGACCACTTGAAAAATTCATAAGTTTGTAATTTTGACCTCAATTTTTAAATAAATAGTTTTGTGACTGACTATATTCAAAATTTTGTACATCATTTTCGCTTTCGCCCTTTTTTCGTATCAGGTGGCGAGAGAAATTGGAAGGAGAGCGAGCAAGCGGAGGGGTCAACTAAGTACACGTTGGCAAAGATCTTGGCACGTGCCAACCCGATTGATAAAGCTGCCAGAGAATTCGATTTCAACGCTGAATACAAAATCGATCTTGGTAGCAAAACTGAATTTAGAACTATCAGTGTTCTCGATATTTACAGTTACAATCAAGACGATATGGGTAATCTTATCTCAGACGATAACGTAGAAACTCGAGTGAACGTTTTTGCAGAAAAATGTAACATCAGTCGAGCTTTAAATCTGACCAAAAAATTGGAATCACTTACACAGCGACGTAAAGTTTTAAGGAGACTCTTTCTACATTGGTTTCGGTGCAAGGACCCCGAAGTTGCAGCTGAGATGACCACATTCATTGAAAGTGAAGTTACAAGACTGGAAATTCTACGTGTAGAAGAAACTCGCTTCTATACAAGTTATTGGAAAAGACGTGAAAAACGGGAGAGAAGTACTTTTAGTGGTTACAGTCACTGGATGTCCTTCGGTGATCATTATGATGCTTCGGAATTTGTTAATCCCGATAAAGCCGAAGCAAAGCGATTGATCAAGCAGTCTAAAGCAGACTTGGATGCTGCGAAGATGTTGTTGCTTGATGTTACTACATTTTACTCACAAGTGTGTCACATGAGCCAACAATGTGTTGAGAAAGTGTTGAAGGGAGTTTTATACGCCAAATGTGGTATACCACAGCGAGAATTGCGTTCGCACAACATCGACCGTCTTGCATCTTTAGTGTCTCGTCTTGAGGGGGCACCCAGTGAAATAGAACGTGCCTATACAGTTGCAAATTACAACATGCCAACCCGCTTCCCTGACAATCAACCGAAATACAGAGCCCTAACGGAAGAATATAGCGAGAAAGAAGCCAAAGAAGCGTTGGAAGCTGCTGAAACAGTGTACACAGCCTTGGAGAAATTTGCTCACGACAGTGACGACTAGGCGAAGGTCGGACAGATTTTTAACTGTGTATATTAATCTAGTTCTAATAGTTGACTTTAATTAATAACTTGTACGCTATTTTGTAGCAGATGGTACCGGTATGTACTTACCAAATATGAACACGTTTTCTGAGCTTGTTCATATATAGTTTTACGGGGCGATCCGTTGGTGACCAGCCTGCAGTTACCAAGTGAGAAAATGTTAATTGTTTTTATCATATAACAGTCTTGTATTTGGCAGATGAATAGAATTGAGAGATGTAGTCTCTTCCTCCTAATTTCTAAAGTTGAATACCATCTGCTGCACTGTAGCACTTAACCACAGGTCAAACGAGGATGAGAGTTGGCAGTCACGCATTGTTACAGGGGACATTTCAAGCTCTAGATTAACAAAATAAAGGTTTGATCAGTGTTCCAACCATGTTTTAACTTAAATAGAGTACATGATAGTGTTGGGAAAGCACGCAGGCTACAGCTAACCAAGATCGCGTGACTGCCAACTCTCATATACTCTCATTCTCGTTTCATCCTGGCTTTACAACCCCCAGCAATTGTATAGTGATTCATAAACTGTAGTACATTGAGTTGTAGTTATTTTAGTCTTCTTATAATAGTACATTGAGTTGTAGTTATTTTAGTCTTATTCTATTTCACTGTATTATTAACAAGTACAACACTACACGAGCTTATGTGCACGGGCGAATTAAATCGTATGTGGTGCCTGCCATAGCACAAGAGACAGTGAACAACCGAAATTTTTTAATCGTTTTTGTTTCTTTAGTTTTTACTATAATAATCAATGAACATGTAATGTAATTTGTAGTAAATTGATAACAATGTTAACTGTAGTTTAGAAATGGATCTTTAATATTGATCATCTATGATTATGATTGGCAATAATTAACTTGATTGAGATTAGTACATATCAATATATAGCAGAATTAACGTGTGGCAAAAATAAATTAGCAAATCGTAGATTTGAGAAGATCCACAAGATCTTCTGAGTACAAAATAAGGTATGTTCAAATGTGTGATTAATGCAATTTTCAACATGCATACGGGTCTGCGAGACCAAAATTTAAATGCGTGACTTTCACGCCAGATGAGGCAAACTTGCCAGGTCTGCAGGACGATTCCAAACTCGGTTTTTAACGAGGTTTTTAACGAGGTTTTTAACGAGTTTTAACGATTAATACTATATATACAATATACATCTATTAAATTGGGACAATAATAATTAGCAGATCGTAGATACATACAGTAGTACTATTTAATTCATTGATTTTCAAGTTCGTTTTATTACATTCACACACGATTGGACGAATTCTGAACCATACGCAAATTTGTCAGGTTTCACTTGGTTGTTACTCGTTTCCAACCATCGAACGTGACGTTTTTTCTCAATTTTTCGAGTTTATTCTTTTTGGATTTTCTTGATTAATTTGGTTACGGTTAGGGTTGGGGTTAGGGTAGGGTTTGTTACATAGCCATTTAACACCTCTTCCATGTATCTTCCAACAATGACATCATGTCAATTTGGTGGTTGAAAATGAGTGCCACTTCTTTACACGGGAATTCGTAAGGTACGTTATTGGTCATGATTGTGTACTTGAACGACGAAATCGTGCAAATTTGAGACGGTTCCAAACTCATCCGGTGTGAAAGGAGCCAAAGCTGACTGGTCGCCCGTCGCTCTATTATACTCTAAATATATAATGTAATCAGTGGTCGCGTTGAATATGTAAATGAAAAATAACTGATCAACTGATTTCCTAATTAATAATGTCATCTACTTATGGTAAAGTGGAGATGACTGACGAGGAGCCAGGAGCCAAAGATGAATAATAATGCTGCATGATGTTCAACAACGACACATACAAAACAGTGTTTCGTCGTTCATTAGTTATTAAAAACGACCTTTTGACACACAACTTGTTTCGTCGCAAAACATCCCGAAAGCCAAGAAAATTTTGATTCTGTTGAATTTTGATTCAGGTGTGTAACGCCAGAAGATATAGAACTGGTCGTCAGACCAGTCAACCGGAACGGCTGAAAACTGCTGCAATGCAATGATTCAGTAAAACAGTGTGTTTAACACCGAAGATGTTTTATGCCACAGTGAAGATCTAATTTAACGATTTCTGAAAGTTTTCATGTGGATATAAACCTAAACATTTTTATTCGGATGTAAACCTAAACATTGCTCCAAGCTTGGAGCAAAACCATTGCAAGAAAATAGAGTCAGCTAGCAATGCTACACACTATTACAAAGAAATTTTGATAACATTGTTTCTTAGTCCAACGACATCCGCTTGAGTTTTAACATGACCAGGAAGGTTAACTCGTACTTCATTTGTCGCTTCGAGATGACCCAGTCTTACAGAGACTAAGGCAGACCTAGGAATACTAATACATTTGAATTGGAAGCCGACCATATCTGCGAGGTTCGTATCAAAGCCCAACAAGATGTTGGGTTAGGTTAGGCGCACTAGCTGTGTTGGAAATTAGACAGGTACAGATTTGACTACCTCTCACAGGCTGAATACGCATTTGTGATTGGTTAATCTGATAGATCAAATGCATCTGATTAGTCAATAGTAGCGATACTGAAAGTCAAAATCTGAACCTCTACAGTATAATGACACATTGTCATTTAAGTTCTTATATCTTCAACTGGCGCGTGGTGCCGTGGTCTTGCTTATGCGTCACAAATCTGTCGAGTTGGCAAGGGATCTTGAAACGATTCAGAGTTAACCAACTATGTCCTTGGCCTACATCCTTCAGAAGTTGGATCTACTGCCGATATCTTGACTTGGTCTTTCTTGGCATGAATATCTAGACTTGGTCTTTCTTTTTAAAGTCATTAGTGGTTATGTGCATGTGAGTAAAGACGCAAACCCGGTTTGCGAACCTTATCGTAAGATCAGAAGTTCCAACAATCCTATAGTTTAATTATATTGAAGATCAGTGTGTTATCAATCAAGTCACTGTATATACTGAAAATGAAATATTCTTAATTTTTAGCTAGGGACCACCGTAATTGCACCAACTGTGGCGGTTTGCCTAGACCTAGTCGACGCCGTGAGGAAAAAAGTAATAAGCAAAAAAGAGAAAAATATGGTAACGCGATCCCTATACTTTTTGGGCAATTCGAGAAACTAACCGATCGAATAAAGAACATCAGTTAATTTACAAAAAGCAAACCTTCCCCACGTGCGCGTACTTCAGACCACCACGAGTGAAGTCCAAGAAAATTTGCAAAACTTGGGATTGGGATTGGAAGCAAGCGAGATGACCCTGCAAAAACAGGTCAGTATGGGATTGGATTCAACACTGTCTATCATTTAACGGATTGTCTAAGTTTCCTGTCAGACAATAATACATACACTATGTCTATGTATCCTTGATCCACATTGTGAATACAGTCCTGAAGCAACCCCGGAAGCTCCCGGTGGGAGATACGACAACATTGACGACGACTTCAAAGACAACTTTTTTGATACAGTAACCAGTTAGCGGTTAGCTCGGAGACTTCGGTGATCATTTTCCTCTGCAAGGCTCCACTATGTTTAGGCCCTGTTTACATGAGACCGGAACGAAGTCAAACCGGGACCATTTCGTTTCGGTCATAGTATTATTTATAATAGATGTTTACATGAGACCGGTGACGAAAATAACTCAGACCGGTCTCAAGTCATTCCGCCTGCTGAACCGAACCGACTGACTTCAAACCGGCATGAATTCAGACCGGGATGAATGTAAACAGAAATACATTTCAGACCGGTCTCGGCTGTAACCTTGACATTGGAACAACACATGCTAACAAAAGCCATCTGAAAAAGAAAATTGCCCTGGCAAGGGGAATAAGTTGAAAATTTTGTGATTTTCGTACCGGTCTCATGTAAAGATATTGACAATTTCAATTTTCGTCCCGGTCTCATGTAAACAGGGCCTAAACCTTTTTTTTTTAAAAAAAACTGGCATCGTTTGTCTTGAGGTTAGGGGGTACAAATGGTACCCATAGCTTAGAGGGTGCAAATGGTACCCGTAAGAAGACTTGGTGGAAATCATGTTGGTCGTTTGGATCGGCGAGAATAAGACAATTATGGTGGCAAAGTTTTTTTTAAACATTTTCTCTCCCGTAGTAAGGTAAAGCATGTATTTTCCTGGTAGCCGGTCTTACTTCATGAAAAAATAGTCCGCTACCAGTGACTAGGTCCCCTCTCTTATGGCGGTTATTCCGGCTCAATATCTTCGGGGATATTCCTTTTCAGGGCGTTTGCATGCGGATAATATGGTCCGTCGCGTGCGCAAAATAGTTAGGGAGTTAGACAGTTTAGAAGCGTCCAAACTGCGCAATATACGACACTCACATGAAACGTAAAATACTTTATAATAATTCACAAAATTGCGAAAACAAAAAATTGACAATTTTGCAATTTGCATGAATTGTGCGTTTCTGGCAAATGCCTTTAGATTCAAGTTGTAACGACAATTTACAAGCGCATTAAGTGTAAATACGGCATTATTTCTAATGAAAAGACCGCCAGGGTTAGAGTGTTTTTATGTGGTTTGTTAAGGAGCAAACTCGCTTTTTAAAAAAAGAAATGCGTATTAATTTCGATCCAGATTTGTTCCTGAACATGGTCGCCATGAAAACACTCTGTAGAGCAAGCTCAGCGACGTACGGTCATAATAGCGTCGTCGGAAGTTTGCATTCAGCATTTTCGTTCAAAATTGAACGTACATTATGCTATGCTAGGGTTGCGTACAATCGGTACCCACACGATGTGTAGCAATTCTAAAGGAATAACTAATACGTATAAATAGGGTGTGCGCACGAAGTTTTTTTCGCAGGCCTTTAATAACTTCGGGGAAAATAATAAAAAAGCAGTGTCCGTGGTCGGGGCTGAATAGTACTGTGGAAGATTGGGTTGGAAAATTTGCAATTAAGATCTGTATTTTTGGGCAATTGTTACTTTTTGAAAAATAGTATCCTACTGATGTAAAATAACATGGGAAGGGTTTGGCAACAATGATGTCCAAAGAGTATGTTAGCCCTAAAGTTTATTTCATAAAATGATTTATCTTTGTATATACTCAATTACAAGACAATTTAAAGTTCGAGTAAAAGTTTAATAACAATTGATATAAATTGAAACTCATTCTGGCTCAAATTTTATTTCATAAAATGATTTTTCTCAGCATAGTCGATTACATGACAATTCAAAAAGAATATTTAAAGTCAAAATATTAATCATAATTCAAAATGACCTTTGGGTCACATTTTATGCCTACTCATATGGTTGTGTCCACAGAAGCCTGAGGTATTATATTAGATACGAAATACAACGTTTTTAAAAAAACAACCTTATCAAAAATCAGTTAAATATACTCGCTTTTTAAGCAAAAGCGAAAAGATTATTTTTGCCACAATTTTACGGTAAACCCAAACGTGGTGACGGAATTTCCCAGCATTTATATGTGCTGAAATTGAACTAAATCGAGAAATTTAACCAAAGTATAATTTTGCCACTCACCGGGTTTGAGTATCTTTTGTGACAATATGGATACTACCATGAAGATTAGATGTTTGATTAGTAGTACTAAGTAAGTGTTTTCGTCAAAAACACTACTGAAATCATGGCTTTGACAGGGTTGACTAAGTTAGCCTAAAAACCCAATAATTTCCCATTCCATGTTTGTAATATGCATTCAATATGATAGATACGGCAGGCCTTCTACTCTTTCTTCTACTCGATAAATTGGAACAGAATGGCTGAAATTGAGTATACTAAAAGACTTTAATGAAATAAAATTTGGGGTTAATGCATATGTCGTTTTTCGTCTTGCGTAACGTCAGTTGTGTGTAACTTTTATGAAAAAAATCAAAGTCTTGAGATTTTGTTTTTCAACAAGTAATAATGGTCTAGAAATACAGATTTATATTGCACATGTTAGTTTCTTCAGTAAGGTCTCTAAACATTGGCACAATTGCTTGTTCCACAGGGGGCAGAAAAGTACGATTGTGTTTATTTAAAATACCTTGTCATCGTCCTATATATCGCATAGTTTCATCCAGGTTTCAAACGATGAAAATTATGTTGATTTTAAATTTTTTTCGATAATATAATACCGACTACTTCATGTAATTCAAACATTGTATTACCATACTATCGTGGGTTCATACTAGAACGATTGACTTGCTTTTTACACGGGCTATACCCTCGGCATCCTTTCGTAAGATGTTCGGAAATTGTCGTTGCAATGCAATGATGTTTAAATTACATGAAGTAGAAGGCTCGATATTTTCGAAAATATAAAAATCGGCTAATTTTGATTCTTTTATGACTTTGTCTTCGGATTGTTGTGATATAAATATGGGATTATTGCTCGATGACAAGGTATTTACAAAATACAATCGTACTTTTCTGCCCCCTGTGCTTGTTCCCCATGCATAAATTTTTAACTAGTTTTTGGGATTGGATTTATTCAAATTTGAGGTGATTTTGAACACATATTGGTATGTTACTCATGATATGAGTAAAATATTGTTCGTTTATACATTATTCTAGTTTCTATAGCTTTTTATTTGTCTTATCAGTTGAAATATATGTTGTGATTGTTTACGAAATATATTGAATTATTTGTGAATGGTTCGTTCATTTTATGCATGACGAAACCCGAAATTTATAGTTTGATGGTCACAACAAATTTGAGCATAAAAATGTTAAAATTGTACACCCAAAACACTAGGTATTATATTCGAAATCACTGGAACACGACTAGTTTTAAATATGCTTGAACTGAATTTCATACATGCATGATTTCAAAAGTTCTGATCGCGTTATCTGTTTAAAAACTTTTGAAATCATGCATGTATGAAATTCAGTTCAAGCATATTTAAAACTAGTCATGTTCCAGTGATTTCGAATATAATACCTAGTGTTTTGGGTGTACAATTTTAACATTTTTATGCTCAAATTTGTTGTGACCATCAAACTATAAATTTCGGGTTTCATCATGCATAAAATGAACGAACCATTCACAAATAATTCAATATATTTCGTAAACAATCACAACATATATTTCAACTGATAAGACAAATAAAAAGCTATAGAAACTAGAACAATGTATAAACGAACAATATTTTACTCATATCATAATGAGTAACATACCAATATGTGTTCAAAATCACCTCCAAATTTGAATAAGTCCAATCCCAAAAACTAGTTAAAAATTTATGCATGGGAACAAGCAGTTGTGCCAGTGTTTACAGACCACCGTCCACAGTACTACTTGGTTTGTGGGTTCAAATCCCAAAACACTGAACTTATAAGTTACTAAAAAAAAATGGATCCGACGGATCTGGTGGATCCGATGGATCCACCGGATCGACCGGATCCATCAGATCCACCGGATCCACCAGATCCATCAGATCCACCGGATCCATCGGATCCACCAGATCCATCGGATCCATCGGATCCATCGGATCCACCAGATCCATCGGATCCACCGGATCCATCGGAACCACCAGATCCATCGGATCCACCGGATCCATCAGATCCATCGGATCCATCGGATCCACCAGATCCATCGGATCCATCAGATCCACCGGATCCATCGGATCCATCAGATCCATCGGATCCACCGGATCCATCAGATCCACCAGATCCACCGGATCCACCAGATCCATCGGATCTATCAGATCCATCAGATCCACCAGATCCATCGGATCCACCAGATCCACCGGATCCATCGGATCCACCGGATCCACCAGATCCATCGGATCCACCGGATCCATCGGATCCACCAGATCCACCGGATCCATTTTTTTTTAGTAACTTATAAGTTCAGTGTTTTGGGATTTGAACCCACAAACCAAGTAGTACTGTGGACGGTGGTCTGTAAACATTGGCACAACTGCTTGTTCCCATGCATAAATTTTTAACTAGTTTTTGGGATTGGATTTATTCAAATTTGAGGTGATTTTGAACACATATTGGTAGTATGTTACTCATTATGATATGAGTAAAATATTGTTGTTCGTTTATACATTATTCTAGTTTCTATAGCTTTTTATTGCCTTATCAGTTGAAATATATGTTGTGATTGTTTATGAAATATATTGAATTATTTGTGAATGGTTCGTTCATTTTATGCATGACGAAACCCGAAATTTATAGTTTGATGGTCACAACAAATTTGAGCATAAAAATGTTAAAATTGTACACCCAAAACACTAGGTATTATATTCGAAATCACTGGAACACGACTAGTTTTAAATATGGTTGAACTGAATTTCATACATGCATGATTTCAAAAGTTTTTAAACAGATAAGCGATCAGAACTTTTGAAATACTCCATGTATGAAATTCAGTTCAAGCATATTTAAAACTAGTCGTGTTCCAGTGATTTCGAATATAATACCTAGTGTTTTGGGTGTACAATTTTAACATTTTTATGCTCAAATTTGTTGTGACCATCAAACTATAAATTTCGGGATTCGTCATGCATAAAATGAACGAACAATTCACAAATAATTCAATATATTTCGTAAACAATCACAACATATATTTCAACTGATAAGACAAATAAAAAGCTATAGAAACTAGACAATGTATACACGAACAATATTTTACTCATATCATAATGAGTAACATACCAATATATATGTTCAAAATCACCTCAAATTTGAATAAATCCAATCCCAAAAACTAGTTAAAAATTTATGCATGGGGAACAAGCAGTTGCGCCAATGTTTAGAGACCTTACTGAAGAAACTAACTAACATGTGCAATATAAATCTGTATTTCTAGACCATTATTACTTGTTGAAAAACAAAATCTCAAGACATTGATTTTTTCATAAAAGTTGCACAACTGCTGGCAACAATGACGTTTAGAGAGTCTGGTATTTTTCCTTTTAAACGTAAGACGAAAAACGACATATGCATTAACCCCGAATTATATTTCATTAAAGTCTTTTAGTATACTCAATTTCAGCCATTCTGTTCGAATTTATCTCCAGAGAGTAGAAGTCCTGCCGTATCTATCATATTGAATGCATATTACAAACATGAAATGGGGCTATTTAGCCATTAGGCTAACTTAGTCAACCCTGTCAAAGCCATGATTTCAGTAGTGTTTTTGACGAAAACGTTTACTTTGTACTAATCACTTTTCATATTGTCACAAAAGATGCTCAAACACGGTGAGGGGAAAAATTATACTTTGGTTAAATTTCTCGATTTAGTTCAATTTCAGCACATATAAATGCTGGGAAATTCCGTCACCACGTTTGGGTTTACCGTGAAATTGTGGTAAAAATAATCTTTTCGCTTTTGCTTGAAAGGAGAGTATTATGTTCTGAATTATGACGATCAAAACCTTATCTAACTGATTTTAGAAACGTTGTATTTCGTATCTAATATAATACATCAGGCTTCTGTCGACACAACCGTATGAGTAGGCATAAAATTTGACCCAAAGGTCATTTTCAATTATGATTAATATTTTGACTTTAAATATGCTTTAAATATTCTTTTTATTCTTTTTGAATTGTCATGTAATTGAGTATTCTGAGAAAAATCATTTGATGAAATAAAATTTGAGCCAGAATGAGTTTCAATTTATATCAATTGTTAGTAAACGTTTAATCGAACTTTAAATTGTCTTGTAATTGAGTATATACAAAGTTAAATAATTTTATGAAATAAAGTTTAGGGCTAACATACTCTTCGGACATCATTGTTGCCAAACCCTTCAGATGTTATTTTACATCAGTAGGACACTATTTTTCAAAAAGTAACAATTGACCAAAAATATAGATCTTAATAGCACATTTTCCAACCCAATCTTCCACAGTACTATTCAGCCCCGACCACGGACACTGCTTTTTTTATTATTTTCCCCGAAGTTAAAGGCCTGCGAAAAAACTTCGTGCGCACACCCTATTTATACGTATTAGTTATTCTTTAGAATTGCTACACATCGTGTGGGTACAGATTGTACGCAACCCTAGCATAGCAACTTATTAACATAATGTACGTTCAATTTTGAACGAAAATGCTGAATGCAAACTTCCGTCGACGCTATTAGGACCGCTGAGCTTGCTCTACAGAGTGTTTTCAATTGTGACCATGTTCAGGAACAAATCTGGATCGAAATGAATACATATTTCTTTTTTTAAAAAGCGAGTTTGCTCCTTAATAAACCAACATAAAAACACTCTAAAAATAATGCCGTATTTACACTTAATGCGCTTGTAAATTGTCGTTACAACTTGAATCTAAAGGCATTTGCCGGAAACGCACAATTCAAATTGCAAAATTGTCATTTTTTGTTTTCGCAATTTTGTGAATTTTGCGTTTCATGCGAGTGTCGTATATTGCTCAGTTTGGACGCTTCTAAACTGTCTAACTCCCTAACTATTTTGCGCACGCGACGGACCATATTATCCGCATGCAACCGCCCTGAAAAGGAATATCCCTGAAGATATTGAGCCGCAATGACCGCCATAAGAGAGGGGACCTAGTCGCTGGTAGCGGACTGTTATTTTCAGGAAGTAAGACCGGCTACCAGGAAAATACATGCTTTACCTTACTACGGGAGAGAAAATGTTTGAAAAAACTTTGCCACCATAATTGTTGCCTTATTCTCGCCAATCCAAACGACCAACACGATTTCCACCAAGTCTTCTTACGGGTACCATTTGCACCCTCTAAGCTATGGGTACCATTTGTACCCCCTAACCCCAAGACAAACGATGCCAGTTTTTTGAAAAAAGTTTTAGATGAGGAAAGTGACAAATAAGCGACAACGTATTACAAAGAATCAAACAGCAATTTCCAATCGTCGTTATATTTCGAAAGACAAAACTCTGGCAAAGCTTTTCTTGTACACATCCTGCCTCATGACCCTGTCTAAACTGTTGCGTTGCTGCACTTGTTATGCGTGTGCACAATGGCAGTATATATAGAATATATATAGAACCATGCAATAACCATACACTCAAATGTTCCTTTTTTTTTCAGATTGGTTTTCAAATTCAGAAGCTGACGAATTTCGGAAGTACAGTTTTTGCAGAGAAAATCATCGTTATAAACTTTCGTTTAAGCTATCAAAGTCTACTGAACAGAAAATAGATCGAATTTGTAAATATACTGAACATTTAGACCGCCAGGATTTATGCCGGATTT